AAGCATGACAAAATACAGAGTGAAAGCCGACTGGAACTTCTTATATGAGTGGAGTGGAGAGACAGAACTGTTCTTCAATGCTCTTCAAGATCCACTCTGGGATTTCCATTTTGCACTTACTGCACAGTGCTGTTATAGTAAATCTGATCACTCTTTTAAGTAGTGTTCACAAACGCTTCTGTACAGGCCCCGCAGAAATGTGCAAAAAAAAAAATCGGGTTTCTCAGAAACTTTCACATTTCCGGGTTTCTCAGAAGCATCGTCATAGTTGGGTAAACTTCTATAGCGGTGAATGGGAGACTACATTAAATATATTTTTTGTGTTCCAATTTGCTCAAATAGCAAAAGAAAAACCCCACAATAGTGTTTTCAAAAATTTCAAAAAGAGGGAAAAATAGAGAGAGATTAATAACGGCAGTCAGAAGAGAGAATTAAAGATGTACATTTTACCTTCACTCCCACAGGCACTGTAGGCTTTTAAAAACAACTTAACAGCGTTAACTATTTTTTTTTTTTTTTTTGTAATTTGATGCAGTTAAGGTAATACAATACAAAGTATAATAGTGTTATAAATGTAATTAATTTTTAAATGAAAAAAAAAAAATACAAAAATTGCAGGATTTACGACGCTGATGACCGTTAAAACGCGTCATCACAGTCTGTAAAAAAGACATTTCCGTTCATTCCTTTTGAAATGACTGAATTTCGCTCGCGAAAATGGTAAATGTCATCGTACCTTTAGGATTTAAAATAGCCTTTCGTGACTAATATAAGACTTATAAACAGCCAGACCGAGAGCAACTAAATGATAGAAAACGGGGATGTCTCCTTTTCATAGTTAAACTACTTTTAACTAGCCAACAAAACAGTGAGACCCGAAGCAACGTACGCCTGGCGAATACATTTACACAGACCAACAAATAAAAATTAGCGTTGACAAAATGCAAGTCCCGTAAGTTGCTCCGCTGAGGCGCTGTCCAGCACGCGAGCCTCGTGAAGGTGATCGCGTGATCGCTGAGCGTGACGGAGATCACCTTCAGAAGCCTGGCGTGCTGGACAGCGCCTCAGAGGAACACAACCTCCACCTCCATCTCTCTACACTTACTCGATCCTGCCATTAAATATAAATATACAGCAACGTCTCAAGCCTGACACTGGCTTGAATGCATTGGCACCGTTGAGTTCACTACTTTAAGTGTGGTAGTTGGCGTGCATTTGAATGAATTTCCTTCAAAACATCCACGTGAATTTGCCTACCTGATTATGTCATCGTTATGTCCCAAATAAAATTTCTGCTTGTGTTCCCGTGTGTTGTACACAACTCCGACGCCGGCGACAAAGTACACGATCTCCTTGGCGGCCGTGTAGTACAGGTTGTTGCGGCACTGGTGTCCCCGGTAGCCGTAAACCCACTCGAGTCGCAGATGACAGTTCGGAGCTGTTCTGTCAGCCATGTTCGGACGTGTTTTGCTTAGAAGCGATGCTTCTTCATTCACCGACGCGACGAGCCGTCACATTCAGTCCCGTTTATCCGCTCAGTCCGCTGTCAGCGAAGCTTCGTCCGGCCAAAGACAAACCAATCGACGACATATTTCAATTCAAGTGAAGTGCACAACTTTAGGCTGTTTGCATAATGTTAGGGCAAATGCTTTGTTTTGTTCTGACGCTGTAAAGTCTGGCGTTTACTACTTGTGACATGTGCGAGGCTAGAATCTACTCTCTCTACTTCTGACCAGACGTGTGGTTTACTGGCTTTGCTCTAGTGACATGCCAAACCTGAGAACATGGATTTTTCGCATTAGTTAACTGGGACCGGCCAATCACGAACGGCGGTTGTGATTGACAGAAAGTGTGGCCAATCACGTCGTGAGGATGAGTTGAATTAAAATGTGAGGACCAATGGCGAGCTAGAGAAGGATGGAGAAAGGGGTCTAAGCGGTGTATGGCCTAAACGGCAGTTTAATAGCTTTTGTCGTGGGCCTACTTCAGTACACTAGTTTAACTCTGAACTCTTAATGACCTTAATGAGTTAATAAAAGACAGGACTGGATATTTTTACCCTATAATATCGAATGACAGTTTACTTTTTAAGTTTTAGTCATTTTAGTACACCGTGTTACTGTTAAACTAAATGAAAATAAGAAACGTGTCTTAGCAACTAGCTAAAATCAATTTAGTTTTTAATATTTTATTTCAAGTAACGAAAATGTTTTTATTTTATTTTGCTTCAGTTACCTATAATAACCCTAACATATTCTTTTTCTTCTCCAGACAAACTTTTTACCTTGCAACAAAACAGCAAGACGCAACTCAACATCCATTACATGTGTGTCCCATGGTAGAAAGTAATTCAAACATGTATGGAGCAACATGGAGGTGAGTAAATGGGCTAAAAACTTAATAATTGGTCACTTCTAGGATATGGACACATCTGAATAATATGAATAGCATGGTATAGCATAGCAATAATGGTCACATTGTGATGCTGAAGTAACCAGAGATGTTGACCCATGGTCTTGATGGGTTATGGCCCTAGTCTAGTGTATGAATATGCAAATAAGGGGGCCCGAAATTTTAAATGAGACCCGAAACCTTTGAAGATGTCGATAAATAATGATAGAGACAGAAAATTTAGTAGGTGAGGAGTTTTTCTATTTGATAGCACAATGAAGGCAAAAGTACAGAGACAAAAGGTAAAGCGGTGTTGATGGCTGTCATTCTCTCTACCTCTCATAGGACTTCCGGTTATACAAAACACAACCTTAATCTGAACAACTCCTCATTAGACATATAAACATATTCCAACTCTCTTGATATAAGCAAGCAAGAGACTACACGTCCTAAAAACCCAGCTAGTTCTTGTTGAAGTCGACATGGCTCACATTCTTTAAAACTGGCATTTAAATGACAATGACCATTCAATTTGAATTCCTTAACAATGAAGGGAGTTATTATAGAAAAAATATCTTAAACACAGTTTGGTACACCTATGAAAATATCACTCTTAAATGTTACATAAAAAATGGACCCCTTCAGAACAAGAAATGCATTAACATAAGGTGCGAAGTGCCAATGGAGTGGCGCTAAATGTTCAATTTATATAAATTGAACAGAATGGGAGCAGATGCTGACGACAGCCGTCCATTTGCACCGCTCTTGTTTACCACATTAAGACGTGTCAAATATCTCCACACATTCATTCCTCTCACAGTGAACAAAAACAAGCTGCTTTCTGTTGGTCTTCAAATGTGTAGGAGTAATCCAAGTCACTTTACGGGCACTAAGTGGGCGAGATTTCTTTCATACACATGAATCCAAATAAGACAAACTTTTCTAATCTACTGTTAGCAACAAATAATTTTTGTAATTTCGAGTTTCATTACAGTGTATGCAAACAAGTGCTGCAAATCATGTTTTGGCTTTATTACATTTTAATTAATGTAAAAATTGTTCAGATGGTTTTAATGACATATATTGATATTAATTAGTGCTAAACACATTTTGGAACACACCTCATGGCAGTTCACATACAGTCTGATTTAAATCAGCAACCAAATGAAATGCTAACGACATCATGTATAAAACAAATACTTTGTATTCATTAGTGATTTTCAAACTAGCTAGCCACTATTCCATTTATAACGGAGGAATATGAACAAAATTGTACAAATCTGTTAATTTTCCTTTTAACCTAGGAATGGTAACCAAGAATCAAATTGTTTAACCCTTTGTGGAAGAGATGTATCCTTTCTTGCAATTTGAAAAAGAAAAAATACTCCCAACACACACACACATGAACATCCATCTTATACAGTTTGTTCCAATATTTCAAGGGTGTGTACTAATCTGAAGCCAAGTCATAAATATGACTTTCAAAACTGGATCATGTACAAAACATTAGAACTTTAAAGGACTGTCTGCTAAAAAATATCTCACTCACACACACACACATACAGGGAATGTCAATATCTCCACTTGCAACCGTCCAACCAAACTCGACACTGAAAAACAACAGAATTTAGAAGAATATTTAGAAGAATTGTAGAATTTTAGCCTCTTCGGGGTCTTTCACAAAACTATAAAAAAAAAAAAACATTAAAGGGATCGTTCACCCAAAATGGAATTTTTTTGTAATTTACTCACTCTCATGTTGTTCCAAAAAGATGTTTTAAAGAATGTTGGTAACCATTGTAATTATAATTGTAGCCATTGACTTCCATAGTAGTAAAAATGACCAACCCCAAATAACATTCTTTAAAATATCTTTTTTTTTGGTTCAGCAGAAAAAAGAAACTCATACATGATTGGAACAACTTGAGGGTGAGTAATTGATGATAAATATTTTTGGGGTGAACTATCTCTTTAATTGTACTTGACACGGTTCGCCTGGAAATTCATTACTCGAATTTTCTCCCACTTCACATAACACCTTATGAAATGATGGGTTGAAATGCACATGGAAAATATCAGGTGTCACAATGTTCATGGAAGGATGATGAAAGTCTTCCTGAGCATTGTGGAAAGATTACGGAGAGCGTCACAAGATCAAACACTGTGGCACACGGTCTACAAGAGCTGCGCGCTGGGCCTTCATTCGGCTTACGGAGCAGATTTGCAGACGCTGCACAAAGATATACACTGTGGATCATCACAATATAGGATTGCCACTAAATACAGAGCACAAAGACATTTTAGGTGTCCTGGTTCTTAGATTAGTGGGTGTGTTTGTGTTCAGTGTCATTAAAGACACTAATATCAGTTAGTCTTTTCCATCAGCAACAAAAGAAAACCTTCAGAAACCTTGTCCAGCTTAAATATCCAACCTCCACTGTGATTCAAAGTAAAACTGATTTAGATGCTGATCTATGTTGATTCCCCAAATGTTCACATTACAGTACTGAGTTGTTAGACAAAAAAAAAAAAAAAATCGAATTAATAAAAAATAAAAAAACGTATGCAAAGGCATAGAAGATAGAATTCAATGCCCTTTATCAACATCATTATGATTCCCAATATAGTTTATTTTTGATTACAGATATATTTTATCAGTATAATAGTTATTATTGTTACTGTATATTATTCACTCTGTCTTCACAATTTGTTCAGGGAAGGATGGCGTGGGACGGGACAGTCATTGCGACGAGGCTTTAGTGGCTATCGTGGACACGCAGTGCTGTTGGAAGTTGGGGGACATGGCCGTGTTGCAGCCCAGTCTCTGACGAGGGCCTTTCAGACCCCCGTCCCCCTCCACGATCCAGGGGCTGCTGTCCGACTCCTTACCCAGCATGCCACAGCACTCCTGGGGGGGGACTCCTAAAGCGGGCAGCTGGCCGGACGGGGGCGGGGCCGAGGGCTCATTGGAGGCGTGGTCTTGGAGGACGCTGATGATGTGGTTGAGGAGGTCATTGAAGAACTCAGGAACACCCTCATATCCTGAAAAGAGTAAGAATTGTTCAAACAATAATGGATAAGGAACATATTTCATGATGAGATACGTGATGTTTTTTTATTTCAATGAAATTAATGTACTATATTTTAGTTTAATAGTTTGTATTTTTAAGGGGATTTTATGCTACTAAATTATATTTATGCAGTAATTGTAGAAGAAAACCATACAACATAAGATTAGTTCATACAGTCAAATTGTATGACTCCAAGAAAACTTCATGATATAAAATACTTGATGTTGAAAAATATGTTTAAAGGTCCCATATTGTAAACCTTTCTGAAGTTTTATTTTAGGTTTTAATGTCCTTAAGAATATATATTTGCGGTATAAGTACCAAAAACCATCCCAATATATTTTTACAGCTCCTTTCTCAGGAGCTCTGCTAAGAACAGGTAGATTTTGGCCTTTCTAATTAATATTCATGAGCCTCTCTTCTGATTGGCCTGTTGTTTTCTGAGTGACGCACAGCTAGGCCAACCACAGGTAACTAGGGTCATGTATGATGTAGCCTGTGGCTTGGTGATGCTCACAAGTAAGGTACAGTGCTTAGCATAAGTGAATACACCCATGCTAAAGTTGATAAAAAGAGGAATAAAAAAATACTATTTTGGAAATTGATCTTAATGCCTTAATTAAAACAACTTAGGAAAAATCCAACCTTTAAGGACAACAATTTTCTTTGTGTATGAATAATGTATCGTAAATAAATAAATGTTCTTCCTTAAAATACAGGGTGCATAAGTCAGGACACCCCTATGTTAAATTCCCATAAAGACAGGCAGATTTTCATTTTTAAAGGCCAGTTATTTCATGGATCCAGGATACTAAGCATCCTCCTGATAAAGTTCCCTTGGCCTTTGGAATTGAAATAGCCCCACGTCATCACATACCCTTCACCATACCTAGAGATTAGCATGGTTTTATTTCAGTTAGCCTAATAGCTGGTTTGATTTGCATTGAGAGATGATCTTAAGGAAAGTACCCCATGCTAATCTCTAGGTTTGGTGAAGGTTATGTGATGACGTGGGGCTATTTTAATTTCAAAGGCCAAGGGAACTTTATCAGGATGCATAGTATCTACTTATATGGTAGTTGCATAGGCCCTAGACCTCTGTTATCATGAAACAAGCCAGGAAATTTCAGTTTTGACAATATGAGACATTTACCATAGATATATACATAAGACATAAGATATATATACACTCACATGTATTCCAAATCTAAGTAAAGCATGTCATTACTTTCACAAGCAAAACTTTTTTTGATGTTTTTCAAAAACATGAAACCAACATAAAATTATAAACTTTAACATATTTTTCCTTTTCATCACCTTGTACATATTTGTTATTGACAAAAATGCAATTAATTAGTTTTTGGGAGACCGATATCTACCTATTTTTGTAAAGATTCTAATGAACCTCAACCAACCATCACCTTATCTTTTAAGAAGTTTGGGGTCAGTAGGTTTTTGTGTTATTAATATTATTACTTTTATTCAGAAATGTTCCATTAAATTGATCAAAAGTGACAGTAAAGACATGTTTTATATTTCAAATAAATGCAGTTCTTTCTTTTCATCAAAGAATCGCATCATGCATCATGCTTACTGGTGAGCATAACAGACTTCCAACCCAATCTTTCGAACGGTAGTGTATGCGCGCAAAATAAAAAGTTATTAAATGTTGCCTGAAGAATTGCCTTGTGGTTACAGGGTTACAGGTTTGCATGGACAGATACACACCAGGGAATGCGTTGATGTCAATGACTGCATGTTGGCCCGTCTGGTTGTTGATGATGATGTCGATCCCGAAGAGCGAAACCCCGAGAGCTTCCCGTAGAGATTTACACAGTTCCCTGATGACATCATCATTCGGGGGCTGGGAAACACCTTCTACATTATCTCTCTGTCAAAAATGCAAACAAAAGTGAACAAAGAGCTTTTGCCAAAACACAACACTGTGGGTTGACTAGCAAGACTGCAATTTTTACTGGACGCCCACTTACAGATGTGAGGTCAGAGGACGACTCTGGCTTGGACACATTGTGGCTATTGAAGAAAATCGCTTTTCTGTCTGTGAAGGCATTAAAAAAAGCAAACAAATGAATGCAAAAAATCCAAACACTTTCAGCTGCAAGTGAAAGTGTAACAGTGCAAGTGCACAGCAAGCCACTAGACAGCAGCAGAGAGCTGTGCTTCAGATGACAGATTCAAGGCTTCAGGACTGCCAGGCAGAGAGGGAGAGAAAGAGACAGTGAGGAGGAGGAGGAGGAGGAGGAAAAACAAAAATCTAGTGCCAAGAGGATGCTGAGATTTATGACCTCCCACTCAAATGGCAGTAGAGAAATTCATTAAGGGAGAGGAATCCACCATTTACACTTCCTTCCATCTGCACACATCAAAACACCCAAAATATTTACGATGTACTTCTATTAATCCTCAGAGATAATATCTTTTTGAACCTAAGAAAACCTCTCTTCATCTGTATAGCTTCTAAACATGGCTGTGTTATGCCACTGAAGAGAACAATGGTCTTAACCAGAAATAGAACCAAGGAAACAAGGAATTATAATGGCTTTAGAAATTCATATGCATTTTAAAACACATCCTACTAGAACATGTATATATAAACCTTAATAATATTTATAATTGATTGAATTTTTTTACATTTTCTTATAGCATTAAAATATGCATGACACACATGATCTATAATGGCTGTGTAGAAACATTATTCCAGTCTGAAAAAAGTAACATTTCTCCAGTGATAGCTATTTAAATTATGTATTCAGACTAAAAATAAATAAATATAGTTATTTATTTGATATATATATAACAAAAATATATTACAATATTTCATTATATTTAAGTAGCTGTTTTAGCAGATGAACTCTTAAAGAGAAAAGGGATAAAGCGATCGAATCTCTTCAGAAAATTTGGACTAAACCGCTTATGAACTTTATGAAGCGTCAAAAGTGTCAGTTGCGTAGCTGTCAATGGAGGGACAGAAACTCTCAGATTTCATCAAAAATATCTTCATTTGTGTTCCGATGATGAACAAAAGTCTTTCGGGTTTGGAACGACAGGAGGGAGAGTAAATAATGACAGAATTTGAATTTCAATATTTATTAGATTACTAAGTACTAGGTTTTAGTAATCTGTTCCTCCATCTCAAAAATAATAATAATAATCATTAGAATTAATTATGTATGTATTCTCATTGGCTTTGCACATATAGTTGTAGTTTCTGTGGTTAAAATACAATTGTTTTGGTCAGTAAAATCTAAAAGAACTAAATAGTACTGCGGTACAATCCCTGATTACCTGTCGAAGAACTTTACAAACTCAAATATATCACGCCTTCATGGGATTCTTAGAGATTACAAACAACCTGATCTATCTTTAGAAACACAGTGCCACCCCTTTTTCTTTGTTTTAATCTTTTAAACAGGTTTTTTTATTATTATTTGAATACTGCTCTAAGACAAGGCGTGAGTGAATTTATATATGTGTGTGCATGTGTACTTGTGCATTGCAGAGTTCAGCATGAGTTCATGAATTCACAGATATGACCTCATGAATTTGCATTAAACTAACAGATTGCTCTTCCAGTAGCCGCAACTGGTTTGCATTGTACACTGGCATATGCAAACGGATCATTCCGTACAGCGGCCTGCGGCGGAAACCCGGCATCAGCAAGCACTTCTGCTGACAGGGTAGGAGCAAAACACAATCCACTGTTTCCACTGCAAAGTCAGCTGTGCAAAGGCATCCGAGTCTTTACAGCGGGAACGTTGTAACGTAAATCATGCCTAAACAAACTTAAGCTCCAGTTGCGGTGAAACGAACCATATCGCAGGAGCGGCCTTTCATGGAAATAACATTTATAAAGAGTTGAAGTGTGGGCTGAAGGTTTACCAGACGGTCCAGAAGGGAAGTTCTTGAGTGATGGTCTCTCCACCACAGTGTGCGATTCTCCCACCACGAACACCTTGTAGAGCACGGCATTGTGGTTAATAAAACTCTGAATGACACATGGGGGCTTCACGTCCTTTAGGTCCTCGGCGTTGAATATTATAGCCATCTGCAGAGGAACACAGTGAGACAGAACGCTTTAACTTAACAATTCAAAGTGATAAATACACTTTTTTTGCAAACATTTTGGGTTCCCCAAAGAACCCTTCAGTGAGTGAACCGTTCTTAAAAGAACCATTTTTTCTTACTGTCTGAAGAACCTTTTTTCCACTATAAAGCACCTTTTGTGCATCGCAAGTGAATGTTAAAGTGCCCCTATTATGTTTTTTTTATTTCTTGGATATTACCTTTCATGTAGTGTGAGTGTAAAAGGTCTGCAAAGTTTCCCAAAAAGGAAAAACTGATTCTGAACTGCCTGAAATGAGTTGCCATTATTTACTTCCTGTACAAACCTATGTAGGTTTGTAACAAATTTGCATATTGTGAGCCTATGGTCCTCATTGGCTGCCCGCAACACCTACTCTGCCCCGCCCTCAAACACTGTAGTGTAGCTGAGGTCTGGAAGAGTTTAGTTCGTGTCGTCAACGTGGAGTTGACCTTTCCAAATCAGCTACTTCAATTTCTTCAACTTCAATTATTAGGTTAAATTTCACATAGAATGCTGCATTCAAAGGTAGCTACCTATGTAGGCAGCTCACTAGATTGTAATACAAAGCTTGGTGTGTGTGTGTTAGCATTTCATGGCCTCTGTGGTCACATTTCACAAAAAAACAGAGTTAGAAAAGAGTATTACCTCATGAGAGTTAGTTCCGTGAGCAACCCGTGTTTTGCAAACTGTGCAGGATGAGAAGGAAAAAAACACTCTAGTTAAGTCTAGTTAATAATGCAACTCTTTAATAAACCTTTAATGCAGTGAAATGCAAGCTAATGGCATTTTAGTGAGAGCCAATAAAAACATCAGGGTATCTGCAGAGTTTTTAAATCAAATTAAAGACTTGCGCAAATAAAATGAATACCATATGTCCATACAGAACATACTCATGCAATCTTATAATAATTATTTTGCTTAAAACAACTGCAAACCAGGGTAACTGCATGTTTAAAATACTCAAGACATGTTTTATTCTAAATATACATATGTATTGAAATTGGTTTGCATTTTAATTTATCAATACATACAAATTATAGGTTGATTGGGACTGGATTTTGCTGATAAAATAATAATTATTTTAAAAAGACAATAAAAAAAAAAAAGTTCAGATACTTTGCAAATTCGACTAAATTAAATATTAAAAGTGTTAAACAATGTTTTTAGTCTTTCCTTCATAAGACAGGGCAGCCCAGAAAGAAGCCACACAAGTTTATGTTGAATTAAAAGCCAGATGCAGTTTATTGAGTAACCAACAACACAATATTTTATTTTGAAATGCTGCATTACTTCCAGCTGCTCATTCATAAAGATGAGGAAGATAAAACATGCACTCTTACAACATATTACAATATTAACTCTATAAAGTGTTTATGCTAGGCATAAATGTGCATTATTTATTTATTGTGAACTGCTCCTGTAGAATGTGCATCAGAACTGCATTTTGACTGAACGTTTATTAATCACATTAGGCTTTATCGCGATTCCTGTTTTTCTGTCCTCAAATTTAACAACACATAAAATGATATTTAAGACTTTTTATGGCATTCAATTTGAACAAACTTAATTTTAAACTTTTTAAGGACCCGCAGGAAAACTGAGTCACATTTCTGTGAAATTTCAAGGACAAAAAAAGTCCTTTGTCCATTGTCAATAGTGTAGGGATGTATGACACACAGCTCACACAGAAGTGACTTTCAACACAAACAGATTTCTTTTGGTCAGTACATTGAATTTGCTTGACCAACATGAACCCGTTGTGAAATCTGCATGGAGAAATATTTCATTGAATCTTTCCTGAAGCAAAAAAAATTCCCATTCCTACTGAAATTAATGGATTTTGGCACAAATATTTGAGTGATATTTATATAATGAGCAGTGTTGGGCAGTAACGCGTTACTGTAACGCAGTTACTTTTGACAGTAACTAATACTGTAACGCATTACTTTTTAAATAAATTAACTCCGTTACCGTTACCATATGGCGCGTTGTCCGTTACTTTTTTAAATTAATTAGTTGCTGGAGCGGCTGAGAAGTGTGCGCTGTCATTACACAGTACGAGAGCACTGAAGAGACTGCTAGCATTATACAGAGCGAGAGGACACCTGAGGACACATAACAAACTCACTGGCTGAGTTGTTTACGTAGACACGTGAGGCAGCCCGAGCTGCACGGAGAGCGCTGAGCACTTGATGCGCATTTAAAACACAGACAGCGAAACGGTATGAATACAGAACACTTAAGTACACATTGCCATATCATTATAAAGTAATTAATTTTTTGACTAGATGCTGCATCAGCAGAGAAAGAACAGAAGCTTGCCGTCGATTCTGAGAGGAATAACATTAGTAACGGCTAACTTACCTCAAGCGATTAAAGCAATGTGACAAAAACACACGCAGACCTGACCCACATGTTTTATGTCGCAATTGTTACCATCTATTTGCATTAGTTTATGTCCAGCTGGTCACTTTTATGCATTCATTAGCCGGCGAAGTTGTATTTTTAAAACTAGTGACGTGATTGATTGCTTACATTGATGTGTTCATGCAGCCGACATCAAGTCTAATCAAGTGTTCTAAAATTTAAGCAAATAGAGTGAAAGACTGTACATGTAATATAGGTCTACATTTATGTAATTTTAATGCTCTGGCCTTTGCAGATATTTAAATATGGCCATCTTCTTTAAGCTTGAATCATATAAATGGCAACACTTTACAATAAGATAACAATTTTAGCATTAAATATGGTTAATAAATGTTGTAGAAGTATCATTCATTGTTAGATGCATTTGTATCTCCTTAGTTAATGTAGGCCTACTATGAACTAACAAGAATGATCAAGGTACAATTGTATTGCTCAAATATTAATTCATGCAGTAAAAACCACAGTGGTAAAAACGTATTCTGTCAGCTGCATGAACATCAATGTTGAGAAAGCAAACAAGTCACTAGCTTTAAAAATGCTTGTTTTGTTATTTATTTCAGAAATCCTTGATATATTCAGTTTGTGCTGGTCTGACTTAAATAAAATAGTGTTTAAAAATTACTTTCTGTTTAAGTCAGTTTTGTGTTTGTATAGACCATAACGCATTAAAGGGCATTAATGGGAACATTTAAGAACTTTCTTTAAAAAAGTAACTAAAAAGTTACTTTTAACAGTAACGCATAACTTTTTGGTGTAAGTAATCAACAAAGTAATTGAGTTACTTTTTGAACGAAGTAACTAGTAACTGTAAATAGTCACTATTTCTTAGTAACTAGCACAACACTGATAATGAGATATATATAATTGGTTAAACATTACTTCCCGTTTCAGGAAAGAAGAGGTGCGAGTCGTGAGACTTACTGAAAGGGAATGTAAGACCGTGCCGCTCGATCTGCTCCAGTGTGTCTGGCCCACACTCACTGTTCAGCACCATAAACGGAGGAGAACAGATCCTCACATCTGCAGAGAGAACACAAGACAGGAAGAGACAGGTGAGTCCCGCTGACAAGGCCTGCTCGAATCCTACATGGATTTATAGAGGGAAAATGCAGGGGTTTGTGAAAGTGCCGCTTGTCCTATGACCACTGTAAGCAAGGAAGTATGTAATACTCAAAGAACACTATCCATTAGGGCTCATATCTCAATGGCAGTTGATTGGCTGGCACAGGAATGTGATTTGAAATTTGCCATGTGACTGGTAATCACTACTCTGGAGCTGCAGGAAATTGACATCATGATAACATTGATTGGCTGATGGCACCACAGGATGTGGCTGATATTAAACATGCCCAAGTTCTAGCCACTAGCCACTGATCTGGGGTCTCATTTATAAAGCGTGCGTACGCACAAAACGGGGCTGGAAACGTACGTACGCCAGTTTCCACGCAAAGGTTGTGATCTATAAAAAACAAACTTGACGGGAGAATGTGCGCACCTTTAAGCAAACTTTGAGCCGTGCGTACGCACATTCTGGAGACAAAGGGAATTGGCGACACAGATGGTGAGTTGGAGTTAAATGTCTTTTTGGTCACTTTTAGACAGAAAATCTAAAGAAAATGATACATATACAGAAAGATAATACAAATATAAATTTCACTCACCAAGCCTATCACTTTAAGCAAATATCCATCCCTTCTTAAATGTCCGCGCCAGCGAACGCGTTGGGCCGTTTAGTGAAACTGACGCATATTTAGCCTATCTAACGGCAGATGAAGTAAAACCGTAAATCTTTATTATGAGTCATAATCATAAATAGAGTGCATGTTCACAATGACACTTAAAATAAATAAAATAATGATTTAAACTATGTTTTACTTTTGATATAAACATTTAGATTAAAGATGCCATTCCCATTAATGGAGTTAGACACTTAAACTACATGAAATCATTACTGAGAAGTTACAAAAAAAAATTATATTCAATAAATAGAAATATTTGTTGTGGATGCAATGCTTTTGAACACTTTGCCTCTGGCATTCTGTGTTTTAATGTTTTACATACATAATTGCTTATCATGATAATAGCAGATTGTCTGAGAAAATAGTTTCGTGCAAATAATGCACAAGATCTATCTGTTTCCATTAAAAATATAATCAATTAAAAATACTATTTGGCCAGTGAGATTGAGAAACTTTCTCTGAAATGTATTTTACACTATTTGATTTATTTATTCAAAAACAAGGCAAGGCTTATGATTTGTATTACTGCAGCCTAATGTGACAGCACATCCGTATTTCATATTTTCCAAATATCTTGTATAATCATATGCAAATGATATGCAGATGAGGATATGCATAGTAAAACTAGGCGTCGTGAGCTCCATATATGGTTATTTCGGGGAGGAGACGCAAGTGCACACATTCTTCCGCTGACTGGGATTTATAAAGTGAATTTTGCGCGGGTTCTGGCGTACGAACGGTTTTATAAGTCTGAATATTTTTTAGCGTACGCCATTTTTGGCTTTCGGGCGCACGTACACTTTTAGTAAGGATCCTACGCACAGTTTTATAAATGAGGCCCCTGAGCTGTGACGTGGAAGACAGCAGATAAGGAAGTCCATTTCATGCCTTTTAGAGAAATAAATCAAATAAAACAAAATTTTATATACAGTAAATAAATAAATCAAATACAACTAGAAAATTTCAAACTGAACTGTCTCTTTCTTAAAGTCAGCATGAAACGAAAATTGGGAACTCCCGTGTTATAATGTAGTGATTGAATGAATTGGGTGAATCAGCTTCTCGGACGAGAAAAAGAATAATGTTATTATAAAAAGTTTTTTATTCAAGATTATAAAGGCACATGAATAAAAAAAAAAAAAAAAGATACATTATCATAATAAACACCACAATATTTCATCTGACCAATCACAGCAGAGTAGGATCTCAGAAAGGAGGGGTTTAGAGAAACCAAATACTTTATTGAGCCGTTTCAGAAACTGTCCGTGTTGACTTTATTGTGATTTAAGTTATTGAAGAATACCAAGTATACCAAGTCCCAGTTTCACAGATAGGGCTTAGACTAAGCCAGGATTAAGCCTTAGTTCAATTAGGACATTCATTTAGCTTTTTTTAAAGTTCCTTAGAAGACAAAACAATGGCACCGACATGTTAAGATATATCCGTGCAAGTTTGCTTTCAGTTAAAACAGTTCAAACATGCATTTTAGTCTGAGACTAGCTTAAGCCTTTTCTGTGAGACCCGGGGGCAAGCATCTTAAACACTGACCAGCAGTGATAACTATTTAAGCAGAACATCAAAATCAATTTAAAGACATGAAATAGACAGGACAAGTTAGCTGAGAGTCGCCAGATGAGTTTACATCCTCACAGGGATATAGTTGGTAACAGTAGAAGTTATCGACAGCGACTCTTATTAAACCAACTGTGAAAGGTCTTATGTCATCAGTAGCCCCTCCGGTTGACTTTACTTCCCTATTTATTTTATCGAATGGAGAACAATGGACACAAGGCACTGACTCAACCCGCATAATGCAGGAGCCAGGTAATAGAACCGCAGAAATTTGACCAGCAGGTTCAAGGCTTGTTTGAAAATACTTTACACTCACTGTCCTGGGGATCGCTCTGATGAGCAAACAGAGAGAGAGATGGAACAAAAGCGTCAATCGCTGTGAATGAGTAGCGATCTTTGCGAATTCCAACCGGAGGCACATTATCGGATTGGGATGAATCATCAAAACAGAGATGCATACTGGGCTTAACTTCGGGCCAGTAAGCAAACGCCTTGAGGTTCGGTGATTGAATCTGCTTTGCTGAAGTGGATCTTGCTTTCAGTCAGATGCCAGTGTTGTTATCGAGGCAGATAACTGAGATAAGGCATGTTTTGTGAGTTTTCGATAGTGTAGCACAGGAAATGAGTTGAAGAGTGAAGCTTCAATAGGCTGATGACACACTCACAGCGTCCTGATATGATCACGGTAAACCGCCCGTGTGGTGGGGTAGCAAAACTCATGATAAGATGCTTTTCAGTGTAGAATAAAGAAAATGCTGAACATGGCTTAAGGGTTAATATTTAGTACACATTACGAAACACTTGATTATATTCGCAGCAATTGAGAACAGACTATTGAGAACATCAAAAATACACTAAAAACAGTAATATTGTGACATTTTATTACAATTTGAAATAACTATTTTATTGTAATATATTTTAAAATGTAATTTATTTCTGTGATGAAAATATGAATTTTTTTAGCAGCCATTACTCCAGTCAATAGTGTCACATGATCCTGCAGAAATCATTCTATAATGATTTAATGCTTCAGAAACATTTCTATGATTCCCAATGTTGAAAACAGTTGTGCAGCTTGATGCTTTTGTGCAAACCATTCATAGATAAATAGAAGATTCAAACAAAAACAGCATTTATTATTTATTTATAATTTATTTAAATGTCTTTACTGTCACTTTTAATCAATTTAATGCATCCTTGCTGGATAAAAGTATTAATTTCCTTAAATAAAATGTACTGACCCCAAACTTTTTAATGGTAGTGTATTCATATTTTACTCGATGCAAAGACGACTGGCTCAATAATAACTTAAAGTTCCTCAAAACTAGAACTTCAACAAGAACGGTTAGTCAACTGACAAGGTCATCACTGATTGGTCAAAGTCCCCAATGCAGAAACAAAATCGCAAGATTGTCACTTCCTGTTTTGTCTAGTTGGTAAATGATGTTATCGTAACTGAAATATCCTGTAGTGTTGAAATGGAGAAGGCTGTGCTGGTTTTCTTATCAGAGCTGGTTCATTTATCCAGCTGCTAGACTTTTGTTCTCCTATTCCAGAGGAAGCTTACATAAGCGTTTATGAAAGCCTGAAAAAAGGGCAATGGCAATCTCCTGTTTAAGAACGACAAGCCGGTTTAGTGGTGTGAGCAACCTACTATTACCATTTACAAACACAGACTTAAACGTTTGGTTAGAAAGTATTTCCAACTTGTTACTCAGACCCCGTTTACACCTGGTGTTTTAATTCGTCTCTTTTGTCCACTTTCAACCACTTCTGTGCTGATTTCTTCGATGGGAGGGTCTATGGGTAAATATATCTTTTGATCTAATGGATGAAATAAGCTCACGCAATTTACATATGAACGCGCCTGGAGACAACGGAAAAACATACGGAGAGCATCAGCTGCTCTGACAGTCACAAGACCAGCCGAACGCTGTGAGTGTGTGTTAGAAATCAGGAGTGGTGAGAGAACATTGTGCTTGGAACATTTTTCTTCAAATCAAACTTGGGTTTCAAGCTGACAAAGTTTAAATCCCGTCTTGCAATCGCTCTTCCCATAATGTTTACACCTTCGTTAGGTCAGTTAAAGGTCTTTTGTGGCTGTTCGAACACATGAGCATCTATCCTACGAAAGCAATACGGTCGAATGTGTTTTCGACTACCTCTGGAAGTGGTCGAATGTGGACAAGCTCAAAACATTTTAGACCTCGTTTACACATTTACATTTATTCATTTAGCTGACGCTTTTATCCAAAGCGACTTACAATTGCTATATATGTCAGAGGTCGCACGCCTCTGGAGCAACTAGGGGTTAAGTGTCTTACTCAGAGACACATTGGTGTCTCACAGTGGATTCGAACCCTGGTCTCTCACACCGAAGGCATGTCTTATCCACTGCGCCATCACCACCCCAAACAAAGACCTCTATGTAGCGCCAAATCGACCAAATTAAAACGAAGTAACTTTTTTACCTTAACCGAACAGCTTTGGAGTCATTGTAATGTTTATATTACTGATTTCGTGTTGAATGGTGGTCGTCTCGCACCCCCCTGGTGCCTGTGAGCCGCAAAACCACCCTTGCAACTTTGGGCCGGCGAGCCGCCCAAATCGTGTGATATCAGGTCTCGCGAGGTAACTAATTGCTTTACGGCAAAAAAACAGATCTGATAAAATTTTGATAAAATAAGCATCAAACAGAAATAACCCGGC